TGGATCCGAGCTCTCCAATCATCCAACATCATCTTGCAACCGTCGGTGATCTCCATTGTCCCACGAAATTTCGAGATCCACTGCATCCATCATCCCTATACCCTGGATCCAGGTCCCTCAGGTCCCTCAAGGCGGGATCCTCCCTCCATGGATCCGAACTCGGAAGTATGGGATCCGGGGTACCTCGCGGTGGATCCTGACTTCTCGTTAGCCGTGGCTACTAGATCCACCTTCGGATGGCACCTACCACCATTCCTTCATAGGATCCACACTCGATCCACTGGTACATAGTATATCCCATATCCACCTAAGTGAATCCAGGTAAGGGTGGATCCGAGATAAGTCTTGGTGGATCTTGTCTTTCCGTACATCGCTCATACCAGATCCATCGTCATTCCATACGGGGTGCCGCTTGTCATGGCTAATCCACCACCGGCAACTTGCATCCGTGCCACCAACCCAAATCCTCTCTAATCACTTGAAATTGTCACTGATTCGGGATAGTGACCCCGCGTCAGGCCCATTCTCTTATTTCGGAGAAAGCACTTCACCAAACCATCGTGTAAACTTCGCGGTCGTAGTACGGTTCCACGACTGAAGATCAAGGTGAGAGCCGAATGATCAGTGTAGAAGTCGGATTCTCTCTTGTCCAAGTAACAGCAAAACTTTCTTGTCGACCATACAACCCCTTAACATTCGATCTCCAAGATCCCATCTTGCTTGGTGATCCAGTATATCTGGGACTCTGTCAACAATTTTCTAGCGTACTCCACTACACAGTCTCGACCGTCTACTTCCTGCATTAGGCAGGCTCCGACAGCGTATCGGGACGAGTCCACGTAAAGTTTGAAACGTCTGTTGACATCCGGGTAGACTAGGATCGGAGGCTTCATCAACGCTCGCTTGAGCTGGCGAAATGCCGCCTCACAATCATCATTCCACGCAAATGGAGCATCTTTCACCTTCAACCGTTCTAGGGGCGCCGAAATGAGGCATATCACGGAATGTAGCGACGGAAATAGCTCGTCCGTTCCAAGCACGAACGGATCGCATGTAGATCTTGCGGGAGCTCCACGTTCATCACTACCTTGACCTTCTCTTGATTAGGTAGGATCCCGGTAGAAGTCATTGTGTGCCCCAGGAAAGCGACTTGGCTACGGCCCCAGTTACACTTTTTCATCTTCGGCCTAAAACCGACTTGACGGAACCTCGTGAGTACTTGCCTCACACGCACTAAATGAGTCGGGAAGTCCTTGCTGAAGATTACACAATCATCCAGGTAGACGAAGCAAATACGCCACTATAGGTCCACTACGCCTGTCTACATCAACCGTTCAAGCGCGGGTACAGTATTACAAAGATCAAAAAGGCATCACTAGCCACTCGTACAGACCATACTTGCACTTGAAATCAGTCTTTGGGATATTGTACTTGTCCATGAGAACATTCCAGTAGCCAGACGCAATATCCATAGTCAAAACAATTGCGCACCCCTAGTACGTCGAGGATATCATCGATCAAAGGCATGGGATAGCAATCTTTCAGGGTCACCGCGCTCAGTCGGTACAGAACCTGATTTCTCTGTCTGGCTCGCGAATCATCAGAACCGGAATAGCCCACGAACTGTTCAAAGGACAAACGAATTTGTTCTCAAAGTACTGTTGAATTTCAGCCTCCATCACTTCTCCCTCAGCTAGCGACACATGGTACGGCTGCCGCTTGATCGGGGGACTGTCACTCGTGTCGACCTTAAAATACAGCATCTCCGTTTCATCGATGACGCCACGAACATATCGTAGAAGCCGTTCAGCTCGGACCGGAACAGTGTCTTCTGCTCAACGAATAGGTCTGACTCAGAGAAGTCGGCCGTCGCGCCAGCGTCTTTGTCCATCGGGACGTCAGGCTTAGAGCCCTCACTTCGTCGCAGACTTCCTCTCTCTGCCCTTCGGTGACTGCCATAGTTACGGGGCTCTTTACACCTTCAGTATGCACGTTCTTGTCCAGGGGTTCCTCTCCTCCGGGCGGGTCTTCGTAATCAAATGCCGAATTCGACACGATAGAGGCAGACCACACAAACCTCTCCTTTCTGGATCCAATGCATATCTGTTGACGCGTTGCAGACTACGACTATCACCTTGCCTCCCCCCACATTACACAGCGAGCTAGCTATTCCGGAGGTAGGCGGCAGCTCGACGACACCCTCCACTAGCGCGATATCATTGTCTCTCGCGCCTCCGACGACGTTACCCACCACTAGCGCTTGACCCCGAGGCGGTAACCGTACCGACGAGGCCATTGTAGCCATGTAGGCATCATGTACGACGGTCATTCCCAACTGAAGCTCTTCAACAGTGTCCTTAAGCGTCCAAGTCCTGTCTGCCACATCGATCAGGTCGCCGAATGCTCCTATTACGTCGAATCCCAGGATAGCGCCCTCATGTAGCTTGTCGGTCACTATTATCTTCACAGAGACTTCTTTCGATCCCAATCGGACTGACAGATCGACTCTCCCACGGACGCGGAGTCGATGATTAGTCGATCTGATAGCTTTATCGTCATACGGCTGTAGGGGCTCTGAATACCATCCTAACCGCTTAAGAAATCGCCTGTCAATAAGCTTAAGCGTCGCGCCAGTGTCGGCAAGCATTTACGACGGTAGGCAGTCGATATACCCTCCAGCGAGAGCCTCAAAGCTTCCGACAGCGCAAGCGACACGTCATCCTCCCTGCACCATCGTGGCCTCAACGGGCCTTCTTCGTCTTCGTTATCACGGACGCCAAATCTATCGGGCAGCTCAACCGTGACTGTTCTTAAATCACGTTTAGGAGGTGGATCAGAAGGCGGACGTTCGGGGAACACTACTTGCACATAATGAGACACGTCTTCGACCTCTTCTTGGCAGAGCTTAAAGTTGTCCAAAGCTTCAGCACTGTCCTTGTAGAGGGAAGAACAGTCGAAGCATACCGCGCCATGTTCACGCCGTTGCCGTCGGCGTCGACTTCGACTTCCACCCAAGGTTTGCTTCTTACCCGTACGGTCAACCGGTTTTTGCCAAATATGGCCCGCATTCCCTTCGAAAGACCGCTCGACCCAGCCCTCAACAAGGATCTAGAATTCGCCCAGCAACTCCTTTTCTTGAATAATTCGTTCCGCATGCCAGCGTAGGCACTCCCAATCCAGGCTCGGTATTTTGCCTCTTAGTGGAGATACTCCAATACTCTGGACTTCGAATGCGTCCACGACGAGCACACTGTCTTCCTCGACGGACACTCTTTCACCTCTTTGAGCATCCGATAGACGGCTTTACATGCGACGCTTCGAATCATTCTTCTTTTAAAGGTTCTCCATTCAAAGGCAAATCACACGGTTGTACTTCGGTTACCGTGACCACCATACGCTCGGCTTCTAGTGAAGGAGCAATATTCTCGCACACGAGACTTTCCATCGTCGGATTTACCAGAGCATCCCCCGCCATAGGACAATCCTTCACTTCAGCATTTGCAACCATAGGATTATCAGGTACGCCCTCCTTCCAGAGGTTTTCTGCGGCGTCCTGACAGTAATCTCCGTGAAACCTTCCGACGATGAACGGAAGTCGCGGTTAGCTCTCTTAGCTTTATCCGAACTTTCGAGCGTATCGCTAAACCACCCCTACCAGTATTCGGGTCTCTTCAACTTACTCTCACTGGGCTTACTCACTCGCTCTAGCACTTCCTCAGAGATTCCCAAGTACTTCGTCATGTCCTCCAAAGACGGATCCTTTGTAGTCTCAGCGTTCACCTTCATCTAACGCTTGCGTTCCACCTCGTCTAGATGGCCTAACCGCTCTTCCAGCTCCTTGTCATACTCTTCCTTCTCAGCGACTACCTTCACTCCAGCCAGAACCGTTTCTTCTTCCCCTCGGTCACATTCTTCCATGGCCTCTAGTTCTGAGTCCGTAAAGAGACGTGAATACTTAGCCTCCGGCGCTTCGCCAACCATAATCAAGTCACTGACGACCTCACCATGGTCAGGGACGGTCGCTGCTTCTCTCTCAATCGTTATCTCGACGACTTCTTGCGCCACCACCCCGACAACCGTTTCCTCTGAGCCATCCTCCAGCGTCCAAGTAGCGAGCACAGTCTTTCCCACTCCAATGTCCGCGTCTTCCGACGGCCTATGGTCAAAAACCGGTTCTTCAGCGCAGACTTGAGAGGCGGTTCTGCACCCAAACGGGGTTTATGACGCAGTCGAGAGAACGAGACTCTTTGGCTCTTGTCCGTCGGTTCAGTCGTCACATCGAACGTAGTCAACAACGCTTCAGTAGACCTATCTTCGTCCACGCCCTCCTCCGACTCACTGTCTGACACACTTTCTACATCATCTTAAAACACCTCTTCATCCTCGTCCACTGGAGTGTCTCCCTCGGTCACCGCGACCACACCATACGTACTGTCGTTCACTGCGGTGCCATCATCTGCTTCTCCCGCAGACTCACAAACTCCTCTGTCATCGTTTCCGCAACGAACACCTCAGTAGTCCCACAAACCTCCGCTGCCTTTGGTTCTACAGCAAACCTCTCAGCGTCCTCAACCGTCTCAACAGTCTCGACCGTATCACGTACTATCGAAGTTTCCCTTTCTACCACAGCCTCCACAGCCGTCACACCATCGTCCCTTCCGTCTCCTGCTTCCTCAACTTCGTCCATCTCGACGGCAGCAGGCGTTCTTCTTCTTGATCTTCTCCCGCCACCGTCACTTGAGTCATTACGTAGACTAGAGGAACGAAGGACTCCTCCTTTCCCTCCTCTCGCCCCATCATTGACGAGGAGCAGGCTGACTCAGTGTCAGCGCTGGACCGGCATCCTGCGGCACCATCGAGCGCAGGGTTCCGATCAGGGGACATCCGGCTATGTTATGATTAGGATCGTTGCAGAAGAAACACCCCCGGGGCGGTCGAGAACCGTACCCTCCGCCTTGATTACCACTGTAGTTTCTAGGAGCTTCGCACTCGACCTAGACATGGCCCAAAACGTCGCGGTTTCTGCACGTCGTGATTGCTCGTTTGCAAGTGACATGACCATGGCCACGGTAGTTGCAACGGCCACAAACAGGAACCCCATCCTGGGTTCGACTGTCGAAGACCTTCAGGCGGGGCTTGTCCGTTCGTGGCAGGAACGGTTTGTCGAGACGGCAGACATCACACGACCACGGTCACGAGGGGACCGAGGCGCACTTCATTGATTCTGCACCAATTGTTGCTGCCACTGTTGCTGCTGCTGCATAAAACGCTTCATCCTTTGTGCTAGCGCATCCACGGAGGCCAACACAGGCGTGTTCCTGCCCTTCTAAGCCGGGGCTTCGTCAGAGAAGTCGTCGTCTTCCTCAATAGGACGGTGCACATCCTTGAACATCTGCCACTCGCACGCTTCAGAGATGTCGGAAGCTGGGCTTGCATCCAGGGTTGCCAGCATGCGCTTGTTCCTCCGATTACGGCGGAACGACTGGTATCGCATCTAAGGATTTGGGTAGTCTAACGACTCACACAGGTCGAAAACTCGGTCGCCCCATTCCTCCACCGACCCACCTCTTTCACGTCTTGTGGTCTCGAACCGTTCCCACAGTTCGTCAGCCGTACGGCTTAGAAACTGGTTGTGGAACCGAACCTTCAGCGTGGAGAACGTTCGATTGTCGGGTTGCACCACCATCGCTCAGCTTCGCGACCCTTGACCTTCTGTCGAAACACAAACAACCATGATCGATCGGGAAGGCCCTCCGTGTGAACCTCAAAGAGCTCCCAGAAAACGTGTGCTTTCTCTACCGTCGCCGTGGCCGAGAAGAGCACCGGCAGCACCTTCATGGCGTTCAAAACCAACTGTGACAACTGAGATGAATCGGCCGTCTTCAGGGCTTGGTACGGAGAAACCACACTCTGTCGAGTCACAGAGGGAGCAGGCACCGTTCGACTGGGCGCTGGTCCACCACTTCTCGCCATTGTAGTATCCCCGCTCAAAGGCATCGTACTCACTCTCAGAACCGGACGCCTAGCGGTATCCGGCCCCACACTCGACGTGGAAGCCGCGAAACTAACAACACTCGGGCGAGGGCGACGCACAGACCTCGTAGGCACCGGGGCCTTGGCAGCCATTCCCGGAATGTAGCCACCCCGGAGACCTCAGACGCCTCTCTGTTCACGCTGAGCCGAAGGCGGGACGGTCAGACCATCGAGCTTCCGGTCCAGTGTACCGGGAAATGAACCCACTTGGCTTTTGCTCACTCTTCACTATCTCGACCTGCTCACACTCAGCGTCGCTCTCCGAGTCGTATGTCTCTTGAGCGTCGTAGTTTATCCATCCGTCGTATAGGGACCCTCGCTACGCGCAGAGTCACCATCCACGACCCCTCCCTTCATCTCAGGCTCTTCCTTGACCCCCGTCTTGATATCAACGTCGGCCTCCGTCCGGCCTTTCTCTCCTTCCTGTGTTTCCTTGAATTCGTCGGCGAACAATTCGCGCAGCACATTCATCTCAGAGCTCACACGCATAGTCGACACTCCTCGCGACCCCGCAGCCCCTTCACCTCTACCAGGAGACTGCTCCACACCAATACGCGGATCCCGTGAGACGCTCACTCTCGTGCCCCACTCCAACCGTTCCAAAGCAGCCGGAGCCGACACAAGCTGCTCGTCCACACCACCTTGAAGGCCGCATTCGAAGATTCTCTCTTCTTCTTCATCACTAAACACTTCTCTCTAGACCATCGTCGATACTCTCAATCCAAAACTTGTTCACTCAAAATTCTTTTCTTCTCTCTGCGTCTCTTTCTCGCGCCAATTCTTCTGCGCGACACCAACGACAATTACGCCACACTTCCGCTGAAACAGGAGGCTTTCTTCTCAGTCACCACACGACGGCCTTCAACACCATCCTTCTGGTGGGCCTCGGCCTAAAAGGACAGCGCCCACGATCCGGTCACAATCATCTCACCTCCCAGCGTAAACAATACCCTGCTTCTCCACCACGTGTCGCGAGTCGCCCTGGAACAGGATGCTTGCGCTGATCAACGATAGCGAGCTCTAGACGAGCGGAGCAAAACGTAGTAATCCAAGTCGACACAAGTAGCAATATAAGAAATATAAAGCCACATCTATTAAGTCAGCTCGGGGTTTCCAAGTAAAGTTCACGACTGACCAAACTTACATCGCATCCAATGTCACCCTTACCGTATATTTACTCTGTCGAACCGCACGTTAGCACGTCCTTGGGTACACTGTTGCCGGTGACCTCTCTCCCTTCGCTTCAGTATCCTTCGCATACGTGGCGGTATTGCCGTAGTCCGTGTCGTCCGTCCCAGGGACCTTGTCTTTCGCTGTGACGACAGGTAGTACCTTGACCTTATATGCACCTTTGACGGCGTACTCAACTGGCAGTGTTGCTCCCTCTCCACACTTCACGTAGATGCGACGGAGTCAGACACCAATCCGGGCAACGGAATCCGACAAAGTCAGATCTAATTCAGGCGACCAGACGGCCGCTCATCCCCTCGCCGTGCGACTTCAAGTGGTCGGTCGTAGGTCACTGCAGGGGGGGGACGGGAAGAGTACCCAAGACGGTTGCCACCGGTGATGTCACCGGTGCGCACCGAGACACCGGCTCGCGTACCGGTGGAGACCACGACACTGTCTCGTTGTGAGGTTTGACCGCAGCTTCAGCATCCATGTCGACCGAAGGAGACCCTCCCCCACCAAGGGTGGAGCCGCCAGCATCCGTGGGATACCCCACCGCGAGAAGTGCCGGGACATTTGTGGCGAGCGTTGTTCACGAAGAATGGCGTCAAGCCCGTCGAGGCGTGCTCGGCGTTGTTGAGTGCGAATTCGGCAAGCGGCAGGAACAAACCCCGGTTCGAGTACGAAGACGTGTAGCTACGGAGAACGTCTTCAAGGACTCTGTTGACGCATTGTGTTTGTCCATATGTCTCCGGATGCGCCGCGGTCGACATCAGCAGGTTAGTTTCCAAGGGCACGAAGAGGCGTGGATGTAAACCGCGGGTCGCGGTCGGATATGATAGACTCCGGCAGGCCGTGATGACGAAATATCACGTCGACAAAGTGGGCGCTGACGCTTTCGCGGTGATAGAGGCTGCCCCTGGAACGAAATGGACCATTTTGCTAAAACGATCGTCGAACACAAGTAGGCCCGTGTGTCCGGCTGTATCGGGAGGAAGGCCGAAGGTGAAGTCCATCGCAATGGAGCGCCAGGCTTCCGTGACGACCGGAAGAGTACGCAATGGTGTCTGAGACATCGAAGATGGTTTGACTTGTTGACAAATTCCATATGTGCGGACCCACTCGCGTACCCACTTGTATAAGTGGGGCCAATAAAAGTCTCTCGACAGTGTCGCGTTCGGCTTCTCGCGAGATGTCCTCCAGTCGGGGCGACATGGTACTCGTGGATTACACGCGCACGTAGATCAGCGTCGTTCGGGACGACGACGCCAGGTCCATCGAACCGCTCGATGCTGAACTTCAGCAGATTGCCGTCCAATCGATACCGATCGATCTCATTGCGCGTGGTCCTTGACAGGGCACTTAGCGTGGCGATACTTGGAGCGCACAGGTGCTTCAAGATGTCACCGCAAATAGGGTCATCATCGTACGCTGTAGCGGTCTCGTCGCCCAGCGGGAACGTGGGCGTGACCAGCGTCAGGTTGATGCCTGACGACACACAGACCGCACATTCGTCATCATCCTCATCAACCACCTGATGCCCTAGCGCCTCACGGAGATCGCAGTCCGGGCGTAGAGACAGCACGTCGGCGAGAATGTTATTCTTGCCCAGCTTGTAGTCAACAACGAAGTTGTACTCGGAGAAGAAGGACAGCCAACGGGCCATTCGCTGCGACAAGTGAGGTCTCTTCATCGCTGTCCGCAGCGATGCGTGATCAGTGTAAAACGCCGACGACATATCACCGAGCAAATACACTCTGAATTTGATCAGAGCATATTGCATTGCCAGGAGCTCCTTGTCGTGGACTGGGTAGTTCTTCTCGGCTGGCTTCAGTTGTCGCGACTGATAGCTGAAAACGCGTTCATGTTCGTCATCATCGAACTGCATCAGCGCACAGCCGATGGAAAAATCGCTCGCGTCGCCGACGACGTGGAATGGCTTCGAGACATCAGCAAGCTTCAAGATTGACGCAGAAGCCAAGCTCCTTTTCACCGAGTCGAAGGCAGCTTGGTTCTCCAATTTCCACTCCCAGGTCACGTCCTTCTTCAGCAGCGAGGACAGCGGTTGGATCAACCCAGCGTAATTCTCCGTGTACTTGTGCATATAACTAGCCATGCGAAGCCACTGACGCAACTCAGTGGGACTTGTCAGCGTTGGCCAAGCACAGATAGACGAAACCTTCTCAGGATCCGCGCGCCCACCGTTCTTGCTCACGTAGTATCCCAATACGGGAATCTATGGGGCACAGATAACACATTTCTTCAAGTTTGCGTAGAGCTTGTTCTCTCGCATCACCTGGATAACTTGCCGCAGGTGTGTCAGATGTACTTCCACGGCACTGAGGTTGCCCTCAACGCGGCTGTGCACGAAGATGTCGTCGAGGTAACTCGGCGCGAATTCTCGGAGCGTTAAGCACATGCGAGACGATGAGGTTGAATGTGACAGGCGCGTTCTTCAGACCCTGTGGCACCACGAGCCACTCCTAGAGCATCCCGCTCGGTGTATTTACGGCGGTGAGAAGTACGGCACATGTCCTCATCAGGATCTGATAGAATCCATCGGTCAGGTCGATGGCGCTGAAGATAACGCTGCCAACAATGGCGTTCAGTACCATGTCCTTCCGAGGGATCGAAATCTGCGCGGGTATGGTGTCATCATTTAATTTGTTGAATGCGTGAGTAATGCGCCATCCTCCTGTAGTTTTTTTTCACGCAGAATGTTGGACTTGAATGGGGGAGGTACATTCGCGCACGTGCCCAGCCTTCCGGCGGCCCTCGAAGAAGTCGTCTATCGCTTTCACTTGATCACGGAGAAGTTGCCATTGTCCTGTGACGCAGTACTTCGTACCTGGTGCAAGGTCGATCTCATGCTGAACCCCACGATCCGCCAATAGCTCGGCGGGGATCCCATCCGGGAAGACGTCGGCGTACGCGCCGGCGGTGTCGTATACGCGATTTTCTGATTCCCACAAGGCCTCCCAGGACTGCGTTTGGAATCGTGTCTCGCGAGCCGACTTAGGTTCGGCACCTTGCGGACGTGAACGCTCAGTATCCGTTGCGACTGCTTTTGCTGACTCATTCACTGATACTTATCGGTGATCAAGCACACTTGCTTGATGCTACTAGC